TTGAATAAAATGAGACCACATTTTCTAGTTCCAAATAGCACCACCCTAGCTATAATTTAAAAAATTTAAAACTCTAGGTGGCGTACTTCTACAGGCTTGTGAAAGGAAAAGTATAGAGCTGAACATGAAGGTCGTGTTTTAATTTCAAATCAATCACTGTTAAATTATGAATTTAAACTAAGCAACTAAATTTGAGATTCACTAATATACTAATTACAAATACAATGATATTAACCTAGGTTAATACCACAGAATATGCTATAGAATAGTCCACATTTCTGTGTGACACCTATAGCAGTTCCTACCTTAATATGAAATAAAATACGTAACTACTTCAACACCTTTAATTATTTTTCTCTTTCTCATCTCTATAACAACCCTGTTGTGCAGACAATAGGTCATATGGAGTATACATCATTAATTGTTCTATTTTAATTATTCTGCATATTCATAAAACCAACATTATAGCTGCCAGGTGGCTGTCAGACACACTAACTAAAGCTCCTGACACTTCAGGGTATGTTTGAAGTTCTTTTTAGTAAGGCATTTATATATGTGTATGTGTATACATACATATTACATTTATATGTGTGTTTGTTTGTATACAGATTCGAAACATTTTGTCACCACCTTGACTCCCCAACTAAAATTTTAAATTTTTAAAAAATTGTAGGCTTCCGCATTCCAGTCGTTTGCTTTAAGTCACTGAGGAGTTACCAAACAATGGGGCTGTATTGTCTCTGATCCTCTCTGACCTACCAAGAATGACAGGTAGGCCAATAAACTGAAATCAGATCCCAAATCAGCTGTCACTTGAGCCCAACATTTGAAATCAGAGGTTCCTCACTACGCCTCTGGAGATCTTCAATTTGATTTCAAATTGATGCAGACAGCAGACACTGTTACCAAGTGGGTTCACAAGACGGTACCTCTTCATGTAATTCTTCCCCATTTTCCTGAAAGGTACTTAAAAAGTGATTTCTAGCAATGCGCTTCTAATTTAGTTTTTTGGAGATCGAAATCTATTAGAAATCATAGAAGAACATGACTAAGGAATTCAATTTTCTTGCTTTCTGCTGTATCTTCTGTATGTCATGGTGGTGATTACAGCTGGGTGCAAAAACTGCAAATCTGAAAGTATATTGATACATACTTATAAACATATAGACATGTTTACATATGAACACCAATGCCTGCTTTATAAACGTCTAAGGTTAGTGGTGCTGTTAAGAACCATGAACATGAGCTGGAGAGATGGCTCAGCCTTTAAAGTCTATGCTTACAACTAAAAATGTAAGAACAATGAACATACATATCAAAGTAATTGAGCCCAAGTTCTGAGAAATTAAACAGCAATAAACTTGTTTACATACTATTTTAAAATTAAAAAGAAAAAAACTCCAAAATATAATATACATATACTTCATTTCTGTATGATACTACCTCGGATGGAGAGGTTTGTGGTGAAAAAGTTTTGAGTTGAAAACAAGAAGGAAAAAAGCAGAAAAGGAAAATGTAATACAATGATGATTCACATGAGAAAGTTTAAAAAGCAAAGAACATAACACACAGATCTCCACAGCACTATGCTTCCTCCAATCTCCACTGTCCAACAAGAGTCTAGTTTAGCAGCCAGGCGGTGGTGGCACATGCCTTTAATCCCAGCACTCAGGAAGCAGAGGCAGGCAGATCTCTGTGAGTTCGAGACCAGCCTGGTCTACAAGAGCTAGTTCCAGGACAGGCTCCAAAGCCACAGAGAAAGCCTGTCTCGGGAAAAAAATAAATAAATAAAGTCCAGTTAACAATGGGCTTCCCTTTTTAGTGGATCTCAGGATTGCCTTTTGGATATATTAAAACATAAACTCGCTGGGATTAAAACACAAATTGCAGGGTGTAGCTCACTTTAAAAAGTATTTGCTATATAAAGTGTGTTCTAGGCCGAGGCCCTGGATTTGATCCCCACCAAACTCCCCCAAGGAAAATCACATGCAAACTATTGAACTGTATTTTCCATGTCGTGGATCAAGGTCGTACGGTTCCTTCTGCTCTCTAACCACCTGTACTCAAGAGTCACTATTTAAGGCCTCTAAACACATTAGGTTTTGGAAGTGACTTCCCCTGGCCATTTCTTTTGCTAAGGAATAAAGGGAAGACATGAGGACCCTTGTTCTGGAAGCATATTTTATTAATCTACACCTCCCTGTGAATGATGCATTTATCATGTGTTATAGGTGCTGAATGCAGGGCTTTGTGCGTGCTAGACAAGCAATACCCCAGAGCCACACCCATCCTTCGTTGCTCAGCCTGGCCTGGAACACAGGGTTCTCACACTTTCACTTCCAGAATGCTATTTTCCCAATGCACTCACACATGTACTATATGCAGGCGCCACTCCGGGAAGACATCTCGAACAAGAGGGAAGATTGTCACGCCTCCATGGAATCAAGACAACGTACTGAGTGCAAGACAATCACCCCCAAACACGAGTTGTAAACGCTCCAATAGAAGGTACATCGTGCATGAAAGAGTGATCTCCTGAAGAGCTAACCATTTTCTATTCCCATCAGCCACTTATGCAAGCCAGTTACCCTGTGTCAGCACACAGCCCTTTCTGCTGTAGCTTCTGTATCCTAACAGGTGTCCAATGGTATCGCATACCATACCTTTAAGATGCACACAGCAGTAACAGGAACATTTTTTTTCATATGCGTATTTGACATCTGCACAGTTTTCTGTGAAGTGCCCGTTGCAACTCTTTTGTACGTTTCTTTCTTGGATTATTTCTTCAAGAGTTGTGAGAGTTTCTCTATATATTGTGGCCATAAACATTTTGACTTCTGTTTGCAGTTTTTGTTTATAGCTTCCATTATCATTCTATTTAATAGGGTCTTTTAGAGAGTAAGTTTTCAATTCTGACAATGCTCAGTTAGGAAAAATACCTGGCTGTCACTTGGAGGTAGCTTAACTCCTCCTCAAGATTTCCTTCTTCATTTTCTCCTAAGTGTTAGAGTCTCACATTTTTATATGGCCCGTTTTGAGTTCAATTGTTTTATGAAGTAGGTTTGGGCAGAGAAGGTTTTGCTGTTAATTTTGTTGATGGTTCCATTGTTTAGAACACTACTGTCAAAAGTCAAAATTCCACACAGCTATGGATCTATTTCTTGGTTATCTCGTCCCTCTGAGCTAAATGTTTACCATCCTAAAGAAAGGGCCCTGTTCCCCTTTGTAGCTTTGTGTCTTAATACACAGGCTCACAATCCCTCGGTCTGTTGCTTGCAAGTGCTTGCACTCCTCTAAGACACTGGCTGCATCAGTACTTTACCATCACCTGTCAACCTGCTTTCCCGACCCCACGATGCAATCCGCTGGAGTAGAATACAAGGTCCTGAGCAGCACCTCGTGTCTTCCTGTTTCAATACACTGTGCTGTGAAGCACCATCGCTGACGTGTCAAACCTAAGTTTCTATGAGCAGTGGGTATGCAGTCAGCAACGCCCATGGTTGGAGTCTTCAACACCCAAGTTGATTTTTCACATGTCACAGCCCATGCTGGTCAGGAGTGAGGCCATGGCACCCATCGCTGTCTAGCTCGTGTTCCCTCTCTGAACTGGGGTTGTCACTCTCCCATACTAAACAGCTGGTAACAGTAACTTGAGGTATGTTTTCTGACTCTGAAGATTAGGAAAAAGAGGCAAAAAGCACCTCTGCACAAAGCTTCAGCTTTCCATCTGAAGTCAGGGCCTTCTCAGCAAGCTTCTGTGCATTTCCCTGGCCTACCTAAGCCTGTCACATCTCACACCCACGACTGTTACCACACATCATCTGTGCCCACATCAGTGTTGAAAACATGGCAACTTAAGTTTCTCAGTTGCGTTAAGAGCCCAGGGTCGGCACGTGTCTAATAGTGTTACACCAGAGAGCCAATGCTTCCCATGCAGCAAAAGCTGTCTACTGGCTGCTGACCATAAGGAGTGAACTGGCTGTGCTTCATATGAATTAGGACACATCCTCTGGATTCTCTTCTCATCCCGAGCAAAGGGAATTTTGTCACTATCTGAACAAAATATCTTACTGTAAATAAAGAACAGAAATCGTCAGTGTACCTAAGCAGAAATTTATAAATTACGACTATTAACAACGTACTTTATGTTCTTGGCAGGAAGTGACTTTAAGAAATAAAAGGACACCAAGGTAAGCAGCCATAGGAAGAACTAAAATACTTGCTACACAAATACAAGAGCAGAAGTAAATTCCTATCTGTTGACTGGTGGGGAGGGAGCAGAGGGAGCAGAGGGAGAAAAGGCAACAAGACGATGTGCAGGCTCGGGTTCTTTATGGCAAACATAAACGTCTCATGATGCTGGAAACGGAGTTAGTGGGTTCCTGTACACAAAAAGCCTATCTTTGTGCTCCCAGATCAGATCAGGGGTGGAATGTGGTCCTCACATGGACAGGGTTAGTTCACAGAGGATACCAAATGAAAACTCCTCTAACGTGTAGATTAGATAAAACACCAGAAATAATACTGGGACAAAGAATCATTAAAACAGTTAAAAATGGCTGATAATGAAGACAGTTGTCAATTTTCTCCACAACCCCTAATGACAGATGGTGAATAAACAGCTCTCGAAAGACAGCTGCCTAGTACTCAGTGTTCAGGCTTTTCTAACCTATTAAGATATGCAAAATGCTGTCGCAGGCAGAAGGGTGGCTATGTACTACACAAAGAAAAAGGAAAGAAACTGTAGTGAGGAGGTGAGTGTATATGAGAACTGTAACCATTTTATTCATAAGGATAGTTTACATTTTTCCTTTCACACCCAAAACTAAGTATATCCCAGGGATAACAATATCTTTTGTAGAAATTTCTATGATCCTAAGGATATTTTCCATAATTCACATCTAAAAGTCTTAATACACATAATGTGTAAAAAGGTTACTTCTAAATGTTCAGCCTATATTACCTATTATACATCAAACAAATTTCACAGAGACATCACCAACTGTAGAGAATGACATAATTTAATGAAGACTCATTATCAGAACAAGTTAAAAGAATAAAAACCCAAACATCCCTCTGAAATGTAGAACAAAATCCCACCTGCCACTATAAAACACTCAAATAATTTGTTCTCTACGCTATAAATTTTGTAAATTTCTCATCACCAATGAGAACTTAGCTGAAAAATACGCTCTATAACAACATACTAATTACAACACAACAAAAGAAGCCTCAATTTTCATGCACTAGTTTAATAAATCATGGTTAATTTAAAAAGGTGTAAGGAGGTGATAAGACTGACATACAATCAATGGGTCTTCAATCTCTCTTCATGGACTCCCTCCATCTCTCAGCTTAGCAGTACAAGGCAAGTTGAGGTTTATTTGAACACATTCTTGATAACTGACAACTTGAGAGAAAGCTAGAATTCGAATAGCACTAGGCATTTCGTAAACAAGTCACAGGCCGAGAGAAGTTCAACTGTACTGTTTGGAAAGCTAATGTCAAAGAGTTCTGAAACCTTAAGACTGTGTGATCTGCAATGTTTCCAACATGTCTTCAACTGCCTTAAGAGAGTATTTGCTTTCCTTCTTACTTCGACCTGCAAACTAAAGAAAAAAACAATTCCATCAGTCTCAATATCATTGGAAAGTTCAAACATCACACTCATCTTTATATTGCTACTAAAAATAGTAATGTATCATTTGTGTGAAATCACAAGCTTTTTTCAATATAGCAAACAGAGCTTTTTTCAATATAGCAAACAGAGTCTCTGCAGCTGAAGTGTACAAATATTCCACTGCATACTTGGGCAGTGTAAGTTGATTTTAATTAGAATGACAACCTATAAAAACTTACATTAGATTCAGACACTATAGCATTTATGAAGCACTGTACAATTTCAATGTTAGGTTCATCCAGACAGAGGAAAGGAGTTGGTATCTACTTGTCTACCCTACAAATAGATGTTTGGCATCTCAAGCAAGTGCAATACAAGTCAAAGGACTTTAATTAAACATGTAGACATAAAGGTGCAGAACCTTAAGATCATTAAGAACAGGTCAGAATTTTAGCATCTCAGATTTGTTAGTTAACAGGATGATATACTTCTTGTTTACTGGGATTAGATTTTATAATTAAAACCAAAAATAGTGTATCAAGTCCTAGGTTTGTATGCAAAAGCAAACTCATAATGTATTACATTCAAAACTCATACACTTCAGTCACTGGGGAATCAGTGCAGAGTACCCCCTGCTGATTTCAAAATGAGTTTTCTAACTGCACTGACCGTCACCATCATTTACATCAGCCTGACTTACCACAGCACATTTACCAGATAAAGGAGTGCTCCCTGTGAGGGTGGGGAAAAGTCTATCTATAGCACTTCATTTCCCACGGCCACGTATTGATTAAAATGTGGTATTAATTAACAATGTCTAGTATTTCTAACACATTTTCCAGCAACTGTCTTATGACAGTAAGTGCCTAATACTTGAGTTAGTAGGCATTTATTTCTTTGGTAATGAACTGAATCTGGCAAACTATTCATGAGCTGTCCAGGAAGAAGGGGCGGGCAGCGCAGCACAGGTAACAGGAGCACAGGCTTCCCGACGA